GTCGGTTATTAGTAGCTCCCACAGTTCAGTCAGACTCTATTGCATTGACCACATTTACAGTTCAGTATATTTAGTCTCAGCATGTTATAAATTGGTCATTGCATTCAGTTAGCTCAATATTTAGTATATATATATCATGTCTAGATTATTTCATTGCTTTATTGCTTTGTTCAGTTATATGTTATTTCAGTTTTACTCTATCCTGCATGCTTAGTACCTTTCAAGTACTGACGCATACGTGTGCTACATCTTCTCGTGATGTAGATCCAGGTTCTCAGCATCCAGATCACGCTTAGATCGGTTCCCGATCTTCAGTTCAGTAGAATCAATGGCGAGTCCTCTTTCTCCGAAGACAATAGTCATGAGTTTCTTTTCAATATTTTTTTGTCCTTTAGTTTCACTTTTGCTAGACTTAGTTGGGGCCTGTCCCAGCATTTCTAGTCATTTAGAGGCTATTTTCAGACATCGTTAGATTCAGCTTAGTATTGAGTTAATATCATCTTTGTATTAAACTCATTAGTTTTCATTTATCTCAGTTATGGTATATAGGTATTTCCCATCTTTTCATTTTATTTATGATATAGCTTCCGCATCAGTTTATTATCTTTAGTATGCTCATGATCATGCCAGCAGGGTTAGCTTGGGATCACTTGTGGTCCTAGGTCCGGTGTCCGCGTCTCGGGGGTAATCTCGGGGCGTGACAAACAAGGTATCAGAGCATTAGGTTTAAGTGTCCTAGGATGTCTGAAAAGCCGCACTAAGTAGAGTCATTTTCATGGGTGTGAAGTGCACCACATCTAATGAGAGGGAGGCTACGAGGTGTTTTAGGAAAACTTCATCTTCTTTGTTATTCTTATCGTGCGTTGGTATGATCTCCTTTCTAATCCATCGTTATGCACTTAAGATCATGCCTCCTTGTAGAGCTTATGCATGGAATGCTAATGCACATAGTGCTAACGCAGTTCTTCTAGTCCCAGACCATGAGGTTTTGAACGTAGAGTTTCACAATGCGATTCAACTTTTGGCTTAGAGTATGACCAACCAGAACAATCAACAAGTTCCAGTTCCTACTAATAGGGTCACAAGTTAGTGATGACCCACAAAACTTCATTGATGAGGTTAAGAAAATCTTTGGAGTGATGCAAGTGACTGGTAATTGTAGGGTTGAGTTGATATCCTACCAGCTTAAGGATGTGACTCACATATGGTACACTCAGTAGAAAGATTCAGGGA